CAGCATATGCTGGTTAGGTATGTTTTGAAGCATGGCAGCTAGTTTGAACTGGTTTAAGCTGGTCCATAGCTGGTCATGTGCTGGTTTAAACTGGTTATAAGCTGGTTATGAGCTGGTCCTGAGCAGGAGATAACCTAGGGTGCAGTTCCCAAAACCATCTTAGCTAACTATGGTCTTTAATTCCATTGAACTGAACATATGACATAATTTACGACCATATTTGCTTTTGAGAAATGCACCCCAGCTTAGGACCAACTTATACCAGCTCAAACCTGCTGCTATGCTTCAAAACATACCTAACCAGCATATGCTGGTTTTTTCAACAGGGAGGGCATCCAGTGACAAACACATCTAGCAACTACTGTAAGTACAGTGATCTTGTTACCACCAGTGATTAAAATTGTTATAAATTGTGAATAGGTATAAATCCAAGCCTTAACCTCCCCTCCTTTTCCTAGTCCCAATCCTTTTCTCCAGTCCATATCCCACTCTTGGAAAACCAGACATGCTTCCGGTTCTCGATTAGGATCTGCCGATTAGGACCACTGTTCAAAAACCTAACCCCAAAATCCTGATTAGTTTGACTTTTTTAAATCGCAGAAAACATCTTGTTTATTCTCATGGTCTCTTATTTCATCTTATTAATGAATAATGTGTTTTAAAAATTTGTACTGGGTAGAAATAATGGGTCCTGATTATTACAGATGATAAATCATAAAGAAAACATGCTTGTCAGAAAGGCTCAGATTCTGTTTTTTGTTTCCTGTGGGGTGCTGGGGTTTGGGTCATAGAAATTTGCTGTCATTTTGGTGCAAATCACAGGCACCACTTTTACAGTCATGCACATTTACTCGGAAACAAAGACTCAGCACCCAACTGCAAATGATTTGATGCTTTCAAAACTTTTTGGACTGATGCATGGCTGATATATTTCATGTGCAGGCATAAGTGGTGTTTTATGGAAACAGAAAGGTCCCATGACATGTACCCTTTGTGAGGTCGACATTAATATGTCTGCAACACAAAATGCCTTTAACTGCAACGGATGGATTTTTCTGCTTACGCAGCCAGGTTTGCGACAACATCAGCATGCCAACAAATCTTTCCAGAATGTGAGCTTTACATTAATCATTAGTCCATTAACAGAATTTTACTTATCAACACATTCTCTGTTCTGTATGAATTTTCTCTGATGAAGATCATAACCCACAACATTTCCACATTAATGTTGTTCCCTACTGAGAAGGTCTACTACTTGTTGCCTGGTGCAAAACGTATGGAGGCGTATCTGAATGTGAACTCGGGCCAGGGTTACTGGACAGTACAAATGTGAATGACTGGTCTTGTTGTCTGAAGGGAACACTGTGGAAGGTCAACTTTGGCTAATGCCGTCAATCTGCCACCTTGGAATGAAAAGTGCTGATCATGACATTCCAACAGAACCTACACCATAATTGACGGCAAAGCTCGGACAATGAAGTCCATGTATAATCCATGACAACCTCACACCTACAACCCAAAAAGTGGGCTGAGCAGGAAGGAAATATTCAAATGAACACCTGTATGTTTATCATTCCCTTGAAATCAATTTTTGTAACTTATTGTACATGGAGTGCACATTGTTATTTGCTGTACGGAACCAAATGGGTTACTGCTGATTTAAAGGAATATTTCAGGCTAGATGCAATGAAACATTTACAGTAGATGCTGTGCAGACAAGAATTATATAGTTAAAAACAGCCGTGAAGTGGTCTAAATTTCTTTTTAGAATTGATTGTTTTTCAAAACGGATCCTGACTTTTGGTTATTTGGTTAAGCTTTAGTCCATTATAAAAATGGATCTTATTTAATGATATGGAATTTAAAAAAAATAAAAATTATATATATATATATATATATATATATTAAATAACTTACTTATTTGCTACAATAATGTACTGTAATGTCTTCACATATATATATATATATATATAACTATTTAAAAAAACTACAGTAATCTACATCTACTGTACATCAGACGATAATATTAACATATACTCAGATAAGCTGTGTTTTTCTTTTTTGGCACAACCTCTGCTCATATAGCTGAAAAGATCACATACATATGGATGTGGAAAAACTCTAGGGAAACGGCTATAACTTTTGGTTACTTGCTTTTAGTTATACTCGCTAGTGGTTGAAATTTATCTAAAACTATAAAGATACCTTCTGCCAAAACACCTGGCAAAGATTAAATTAATTATCTCATGTGGTCTTTGAAAGTGAATGTCGATATTTTCAATAAACTGTCTTGGGCCAGCAACATGTCCCCAGCGGTCTCATTATGAAAGGTTATGTATAACACTAATCCTTCATTAATATCACCCGCTGTGTGTAGAAACAGGTGGGCAGGTCTGCAATCCTAAACGTCCCCCCTGAGCCAGACGAAACATCTCGTTTTCAGAATTATGTCCGCTAACCGACCGCCCTGACTTAGATGGCTTGCCAGTGCAGAGATTAGATTTGTTGTTGATGTTGGGTGGGAGTTTCCTACCATATTTTGTTTATGATGAAGTGGCATTTCTTTTAGCAGGTAAGTGAGTGATCAGTAAAAATTGTTCATGACACTAAATCAGAGTGTTAGTAAGAGCTCGGTCATGGAAATTGGTAGACTAATTCATCAAAGTCTGTTCACCATAATCTTCCAGTAAACTTTTCAACGGCCCATTACATAGCATCTAAGGGAAATTTTGGAGTTTTGCTACAGTCTGTTTAAAAGGGCTATTGCAAATTTAGTTTTACATGATTGTTTTTCACAGCATGCAAATCTTGATTTGTTTTTCAAATGGATTTTTTTGTCTGCAGTAGTGAAATGTGCCACATGTTGTCACACTTCAGAGGTTACTGACTGGTACTTGAAACCCTCTGCTATGATTTTATCGGTACTGGTGCCATCCATTCGCAACTCGACTCCATGATCTAGCATCATGGTGTCTTTTCACTTCCTGTTCCTACACTTATTTCATGGAGCTCCTCAAACTGCAAACCAAGACCTTTCTTGTGCTCAGATTCACCAAGTTATAGATTGTTTCCAGATGAAGAATGGCTTTTAAATGACCTAAATTGACCTACCTGTTTACACTTAATTTTTAATTCCAAATCTTTGTTTTTTTTAGTATAAATCACGACTTTGTTTTAAGTCTTTTTACTCTGTGAGATCATTTTTGCCATATGTGTGTCAGCTAAAACAGCAAGGCCTGGCATTTTCAACTAAATTAATGAGGAAACAAATGGCAATAAAATCCAAACAACAACAACAGTGCATTTATCATACCTAAATTGACCTACCTGTTTACACTTAATTTTTAATTCCAAATCTTTGTTTTTTAGTATAAATCACGACTTTATGTTTTAAGTCTTTTTACTCTGTGAGATCATTTTTGCCATATGTGTGTCAGCTAAAACAGCAAGGCCTGGCATTTTCAACTAAATTAATGAGGAAACAAATGGCAATAAAATCCAAACAACAACAACAGTGCATTTATCAAGAAAAGGGCTTAAATAATGAATCAGCCCTCACTCAGTTTTGCAGGGGAAATGACATGCACATTTTCACCACAGTCCACATTTTTTGACTTTGCTGGAGGTTCAATTCATCATTCATTGTGTTTTTCACTTTGTGTGTGTGAGTGTGTGTGTGTGTGTGTTACTTTACTAACAATAACTATGGTATTTTTGCATACATTATGGCTACGATGGTCATTTTTTCCATAAGAGAAGTGTGCTGTATTGATTAATTATTGGTTTTGATAGGTAATGCCATGCTGTTGAGAGTGCTGCCATCTGTGTATCCACGACAACCAGAGCCCATCCATCAACACATCCGTGAGCTGACGGCGATGATGTCCCAGTTGGACCAGGCTGGCAGACAGCACCTGCTCAGACTACTGCAGATGATCTCTGACATTCACCCCCTGGTGAGTGAAAGAGAGACAAATGAGTGAGCGAAAGAATGAATGTGGTGTTTGAGGATGAAGGCTGGTCAAGGTGAGTTATTCTGGGCAACAGAAAAAGAATTTGAAGGGCACCAAGGGAGTGGAGGGGTGGATACATAAATGAGTATGAATTGAGTGATTTAGCATTTATTTTAAAGCAGACAGCTGCAGTACAAGGTCAAACATGGTAAAACAGTTTGATGGTTGACACCTCTAGCGATACCATAGTTGAGCATCTGCCAAACGGATGGGGAAATATCAGAAAACACATCCTAAGCTGCTTGCCCCCCCCCCCCCCCCGGCTCTGAGTGAAGACAAATTTACAGGAAAAGAAAAGGGGAAACCACATTTTTGGCAGAAACGGAACCAGTCATCTATTTTTTTTTTTACATTTTGAAAAGCTTTTAAGGGGGATTGAGGGGTAGCCTGCTAGCAAATAGCAGATGTGTGGAGTCAGAAGAATGCATTGTCATGAGGAGTTAATTTTGCATTGGGCAATAAGCACATGCATATCACTCATCTCATCAGTGAGCACACTGGATGCCTGCATAGTAGTAAGATTAGGAAAGATTATGAGGCATTATTTTACAATAATGTAGCCTATCTGTTGTCATTTCCTTTCATTTACATTTACCGAAATAGGAAATGAGAATTTAATTAAAAATGGTACTATTTTCAAGGATTAATATTGCCATTCCTAAACCAAATCCATCCCAATATTCAGATTAGTGCTTAAAAAAGTGGGATTATTTATGGCTGATTATTTAAAGGGATCGTTCAACCAAAAATGAAAATTCTGTCATTAATTACTCACCCTCATGTCGTTCCAAACCCGTAAGACCTTCGTTCATCTTCGGAACACATATTAAGATATTTTTGATGAAATGTGAGAGCTCTCAGACCCTGCATAGACAGCAACGCAACTGTAATGTTGAAAACGTTGTAAGGACATCGGTAAAACTGTCCATGTGACATCAGTGGCTCAACTTCAGTTTTGCGAAGCTGCGAGAATCCTTTTTGAGCGCAAAGAAAACAAAAATAGCGTAATTTTTTCAACAATTCTTCTCCACTGAGTTACGTCTTCCTCCATTCTAGAGAGTATCACAATGCATACGCACGCTTTCCCCTAAGCGTAAATAATGCTGATTACGCAGATTACGTTCATGGGTACTCTCCAAAATGGCGGAAGACGTAACTCGGGGGAGAATAATTGTTGAATAAATTGTTTTCTTTGCGCTCAAACAGCTCTGAAGTTGAGCCACTGGTGTCACATGGACAGTTTTACCGATGTCCTTACTACGTTTCTGGACCTGGCAACATTACAGTTGCGTTGCTGTCTATGCAGGGTCTGAGAGCTCTCACATTTCATCAAAAATATCTTAATTTGTGTTCTGAAGATGAACGAAGGTCTTACGGATTTGGAACGACATGAAGGTGAGTAATTAATGACAGAATTTTCATTTTGGGGTGAACTAACCCTTTAATTTGATCACTAATCTTAAATATGGTTACAGCCTCACAGAGTAGCAAAATATTTAAATTTTTACTAACTTTATTTCAACCCCTTTATTTTAACATTACGTTTATAATCTATGTGCATATACTTTGAATAAGCACACTAAATTCTGTACTTTCTGGTGACACTCAATTAATAGGCTAACCATGAATCTAAAGAAATACTGATTCTTTATTTGCATTCATGCAGACGTTTTATATATACAGTGTATTTTATCTGGCATAACCAACAATACTTGTCACTGGTCATATTTCAGCTTCAGCAGCTAGGATCCGTTGATGAGCGGTGTGACTATTCCAGTCTGCCAACTTGAACAACACTGAACCAGCACCTGCCAGCGTAGACTAGCATTGAAATTCATAATAGGTTTTCTTTGTAAATGGATGGATTGACAGATAAACAAATAGACAGATACACCAATAACTTTCTTTCATAGTACATCAGAAATCACGTGGGAGAGTAGATACCCCAGACTCTCTCTGTCCCAGTGCTGCTAGTTTATACAGTGATTTGGAAGCAAACGGGATTAATTAAGATTAGTCAGTGGTTTTCACATCCTGACAGAGGCTGGGAATCCTGCTTCTCACAGGACGTCCTGTCTGGTGCCCTCCCAGCTCCACCAGATCCTCTCTTTGTCCTCTTAACCACTGCCAATTCAAAGGTGAAGTGTTTCACAAGGAAAAATGAGAGGATTAAGCAAATCCTTGCTAAAAGGGTGTAGTTGGATTCACTTCATGCTGGAGAAAAGAGCTCATGTAACCCATGTGGCTCATCTGCGTCTAGTCGTCACTGCAGTTTGTCAGACATGAATGTCAACCAGCACAAGATTTCACTGATGATCTGTATTTCTTCTGTGAGTCACTGTTCTTTTTGAAGGTCACCACTGCTTTTCTATAACAGACAGATAAATCTAGATAAACTGTCCATAGTGGGAGGATGATTGTGAGTTTCCTTCTGCTCCACATTTTTTCTGCTGTTACTATCTTCACTAGTTTTTCTCTGCAAACTCATATAGGAACCAGGCGCTCTGGTTAATGAGTGGGCGGCACTGAAATCAACCAACTAGAGTGCTGTGGTTCTTTACACAGCACGATTACAACCATAAGGGACCTCTGATGAAAGAAAAGTTCAGGACCAAATGAGTGTGTTTGTAGTGTCTTTACTATTTTTATTACATTCTGACTGTCAAGAGGCCAGATAGCATGTCCTTATGTGCCCTCACAGAGAAGTGCTTTAAAGGGATAGTTCACCCAAAAATGAAATTTCTGTCATTAATTACTCACCCTCATGTTGTTCCAAACCTGTAAGAACACAAATTAAGATATTTTTGATTAATTCCGAGAGTTCTCTGTCCCTCCCATAGACAGCAAGGATCCATACACGATCAAGGAACAGAAACGTCGTTAAAATAATCCATGTGACATCAGGGGTTCAACTGTAATTTTTCGAAGCTACGAAAATATTTTTTGTGCACAAAGAAAGTTCTGTCAGCTGCACCACACGCTTACATTGTTTACGTTCAGATCAAAGCATGCGCATACGTCGTGATACTCTCCAAAATGGAGCCAGGGTGACGCGGAGGAGATGAATTGTTGAATAAAGTCGTTATTTTTGTTTTCTTTGCGCACAAAAAATGATTCTCGTAACTTTTTAAAATTACGGTTAAACCCCATATCTCACATGGACTATTTTAACGATGTCCTTACAGTCCTTACCAGGGTGACGCGGAGGAGACGAATTGTTGAATAAAGTCGTTATTTTTGTTTTCTTTGCGCACAAAAAATGATTCTCGTAACTTTAAAATTATGGTTAAACCCCTGATCTCACATGGACTATTTTAACGATGTCCTTACTATGTTTCTGGACCTTGATCGTGTAAGGAACCTTGCTGTCTATGGGAATGTCAGAGAGCTCTCGGAATTCATCAAAAATATCTTAATTTGTATTCTGAAGATGAACAAAGGTCTTACGGGTTTGGAACAACATGAGGGTGAGTAATTAATGACAGAAGTCCTTACAGTCCTTACCAGGGTGACGCGGAGGAGACGAATTGTTGAATAAAGTCGTTATTTTTGTTTTCTTTGCGCACAAAAAATGATTCTCGTAACTTTAAAATTACGGTTAAACCCTGATCTCACATGGACTATTTTAACAATGTCCTTACTATGTTTCTGGACCTTGATCGTGTAAGGAACCTTGCTGTCTATGGGAATGTCAGAGAGCTCTCGGAATTCATCAAAAATATCTTAATTTGTATTCTGAAGATGAACAAAGGTCTTACGGGTTTGGAACAACATGAGGGTGAGTAATTAATGATAGTATTTTCATTTTTGGGTGAACTATCCCTTTAATACCCTCAAAACATTTGTTTATTTATTTATTTACTACTTTCATTCATTGCAGATTTTTTTTAAAGAGATATAACAATAATAAAAATAAAAGCTACACATTTTGTGTTCGGGTCATTTTAGACCCAGGTATGCGTGTAGTACCATTCGGTGTCAAAAATACTTTTTGTTATATTATCTATGAAATTAAATTAGTGTAAGAAACATTTGTAAAGTATATCAATTTTTCCCCATATCTCACACTTTTGGGACTTGGTAAACATGAATATGTACACCTATTGACAAACTATTGCAGCATTAAAAATGTATCACTTTTTTCATCTGAAAGTGAAAGTTTATGCAAGTAAAATGAATTTATTTTGTTTGATACTTGCATTGTTTTGATATGTAGGTTTCATAAATGTTTTTGAGCAATCATGAGTTATAAAGTCAAAGGAATTTAATTCAGTTCCATTCAGTCCAATGGGGTTAATGCCAGTAATCTTCTTAGGTTTATGTTCTTTGAAGTTTAGTTTTATATATATATATATATTTATATACACAGTAGTTCCAAACATGTGTTGAATGCATTATAAGGGTTAAGTTTGGCCTTATCTTTTTGTCTCCTCAGGTATTGTCGTCTTTGGTGCCATCATTGATTGGTTATGTCAGTGACAGTGATCTAGGTGACACTGCTTTGGGTGTGTTGGTGAACGTGGCTCAGGCAAGCCCCGCCTCTCTCGTTCCCTTCCTGTCCACGCTAAGAAATGTGGGTCAGAAGAACCCTTGGTTGCTGGGACACATTGCTAAGATCCATGGGGCAGTGGGTCTGACTAGTGAGGTGGGCATTTATATCACAATACGTGTTCATGCTTCAAATCCAGCTAGTTGAACACTTAATGCACTTGGTCATACTGTATGTCCCAAGATTCATTAGACTGGTCCAGTGCTTTAAAACTAAACAATTATGACCTCTTGTGTGTCAAAGTATTTTTATTTGTTGCTTCATTTTAAAGTAGCTTTCTCGTTAGTTTTTTACTATATGCATTACTTTTCTAAATGTTAAGTGCAATACCACAAAGGTAGTAGGCACTCTACTACCGAACATTATTGTCTCTGAATTGTTTTATTTTTTTGTAAATACAAGTGCTTTTTAGAGTGCACTCTGCACAATAATTAATTCCCTTACCTGTCTTAACCAAAAAAAAAAAAGTGATTTAGTGAAACATTGCAGGTCACATCATTTTAGCATGTGTACTATTCATATGACTCTTTACAAAAACACTGTTCATTTCTTAATGCGTACATTTTTTTAAATTAGCAACAAACTATTGAATACACCTTTTAAAATGTAGTGCTCATGGCGTGAGATGCTGAAAAAAGGTAGGTAATATGCATGCCAACAGGAACCTTGGAAGTTTGACGGTAATCACTGTGAGAATTATTGTTGAAAGAGGTGAAAATGTTACACAAGTGGTACTTTGAAGACTGTAATGGTGTTGCTTTAGGGCAGTGTTTCTCAACCCTGGTCCTGGGCGCCCCCCCCAACACTGCACATTTTGTATGTCTCCCTTATCTGACACACCTATTTCAGGTACTGGAGTTTCTTTTAATGAGCTAATGAGTTGAGTCAGGTGTGTTTGATTAGGGAGACACACAAAATGTGCAGTGCTGGGGGGCACCCAGGACTAGGGTTGAGAAACACTGCTTTAGGGGTTAATGTAGATCAGGGGTGCCCAACCCTGGTCCTGGAGATCTACCTTCCTGCAGAGTTCCGTTCCAACCCTTATCAAACACACCTGTAATTATCAAGTGCTCCTTCAGATCCTAATTAGTTGGTCCAGGTGTGTTTGATAAGGGTTGGAGCTAAACTCTGCAGGAAGGTAGATCTCCAGGACCAGGGTTGGGCACCCCTGAAGTAGAAACAGAGAGGAGTTGTAGCATGTTAAAACTGCTGTGATCTTTATTAGACGTGACACTCTTCACATTTCTGTTGGAATTGAAGTTATATGCTGAAACAGCGATGCAGTGCTTTTTTTCTCCTGGTTTATTTATGGGGGATTCCAAAGCAGATCTGGGCAACATTACGGTTATTTTAGCAGGTGATGAAGAGTTAAGATGAATGAGGAACGTGAATCCCTGTGTGTGTGTGTGTGTTCATGCGTGGATCCTGTGGTTTCTTTGTGTTAGTGTATTGGCACCCTGGACTGTTTGTTCCAGAGGTTTTCTATCATTATCAGAGCTATTCCATCATGTTTGAGAAATCAGGAGAGTATAAAATGGACTTTACTCTTTTTGGTCTGTTGTTTTAGTACAAACATGTGTTTTCTCTAGACTTCCTCTTTTTGCAGCTTTTGTCTTCCTCTCTTTACATCTCTGTTTCTGTCACTCTCTTTCTAATTTCTGTTGAATTTAAATTATAAAAATGTTCAGTGTTTTTCAATCTTTCCTTATATTTCTCAACTTGTTCAGTTTATTTTCTTGTTTTCTTTTTATTTCATAGACACCTTTCTTTTGGTGTTCTTATTAATATATCACTTATAGTTTTTTTTTTTTTACACAAATTATTTCTAATGAATCATTACTGTATCTTAAACTATTTCATAGGGATTTAGTAACAACTCCTTAATTAACTCTAAACTCTAGAAATGTACTATGGACCTCAAATGAAGTAGTTGAGAGGTGTGTGCCATTACTTTTTAGAAATGATTGAACTATGATAAAACAGACAATAGTCAAAAATCTGTCTTTCCAAGAAAGTACTCCAAAAGGACACCAAAGAACCAAATTATACAAGGAGCCCATATAAGCACATATGAAAGAAAAAACATACAAAAAAAAAATCAGAATTGTATAGTAGCCTATAGGGCCTTTCGCACCCCGGGAACCTTTTCATAGTACCAGAACTAATTGTGGAACTACCCACTTTTTGGCGTGTTCGCACCGCCGGAACTGAGAGCGATTTTAGTACCGGACTGCCTTTTTCGAGAACCAAATTAGCTCCTACTCCGGATCAGGGTCTAACCAGCACAACTGGTACTAATCGTGACGTGAGTAGACATTGATTGGCCAAACGCGTACAAAAACGCCCTCACCCGCCATGATTTAAAATGCAGTGTAAACATACTGTACATATATTGTCAACTTATTTCGCAAGTATGGAGAACAGCAGTTGTGATACCGAACAGGACCACATGGAAATGCCAAAAACCCATAAACCAACCGCCTGCTGACTGCATTTATCTACTATAGTACACGGATCCATTCAGAAAAACTAAACACAGCAACAAAAATATGACCAATCAAAACATTATCGTGAATGTACGGAAATGTCTGTGCCTGTGCATAAATACAATGTGTGATCAGTGTGTCAAGAGCACTCATACATGCATTATTATAACGTGCTCACTGTACTGTATTACTCCTGTACGCCACCGCAATTGTCTTTACCTTGATTGCAGTCTTCATCCATCAAAACTTTACTAGCGAGACTGGTTATCCAGTCGAGAAAACGTTTGCGTCTCATCTGGCCATACAGCGATGGGATGTGTTGACAATCCGTTCAGTCTGTACTTCACACAGCGTGTGTGACGTGTGAGGGCTCGCGCTCTTCAGAGACAATCACAGAATATAACAGAGCTCGTGATTAAAAGCCAAACACACTGGAATGAATAATTCACTGAAAACGCAACACGAGTCTCTGTTCTCTCTGCAATCTCTGATGTAATCAGCAATTTGTTTGAATGCATTCGCTTACTGGATCGTTGGACTGAAAACTTTCCCAGAGTTTAGCGGCTTAAAATGATCTGATCGCAAGCAGAGAAGCAAAATTGGGTTAAAGGGTTAGAATAGAAATTGTGCTTCAGTTAATTGCGTTAAGTTATTTTAACGCGTTAAGGATTGTAAAATTAATCGCATGCATTAATGTGTTAACGTTGACAGACACCATTCACATTTTCCTCAGAAACTGTAAAATCTAGTTCATTTTTCTTTAGCTCCCACAACTAAAATATGCTTTCGTTCCACTCTCAGCTACTTCTGTATTTGTTAGCAGAAATTTAGTCACTAATGGCTCTCCTCACTTTTTTGTGTCATCCTTTTTATGTTAATTAAGTAGCCTGGAAGTGTTGACACAGTTCTGGATGTGTCAGCATTACTAAGGCTGCGTTTACACTGCAAGTCTTAATGCACAGATCCGATCTTTTGACCATATCCAATTTTTTGGCACGTCTGTTTACATTCACTTTAGACACGACTGGTATCCGATATCTGTGTTTACATTAATTCCCACCCAAAAGGATTGTCTGCAGTGATCGCTTTACTATGCACATGATAGACCCTCGGGTTTTAAATGGCCGTTAAAATTATTTATATAATTCACGTCGAATGGCCATTATTATTTGCCAGCATGGACAACGGCTGTCATGGATGTTTTGCAGCACAAAATCTGACTGAACGGATAAAGACCGGAAAATAACGGTAATTTTAATTTGTTAGACTATTTTATCTACAGCTTGTTAGAGGTAGAATTCTTTAGGGAAATAAAGATGATATATATATTGAAATGAATTCGAATTAAGGAGAGAGAGAGAACGAACACATGCATCCGCGAGCGAGCGATTGTGAAGCATTGCAAACAAGCTTGTCGTTTAATTACAAAAACTGCTAAGTTATCACCTCACTGCTGAGAAATATATGTAGCTTTTAGCTGTTGTATTTTCAAAATTCACGGGGCGGGGGTTGAAAACAAGCTCCTGAATTTCTTACCTATATCTCAATAAAATGCGAGCGCATACAGCACGCCGGCATTAAAATGGCATTAAAAATCTTTGAGCAAACGTGTCGCCCTCGCATTGGGAGTTCTGTGGAGAATCGGATATGTGTGTTTAGACGTAGGTCGGATGTCCAGATATCAGATGTGTATCCGATTAAAATCCACATTTGGGAGTGGCTCAGATCGGATGCAAAAAAATCGGATCTCGTGCGGGTTTTTGTGTTTACACGTGTGCAACAAATTCCGATCTGTGTCAGATGTGAGCGAAAGATCGGATTTTTTGTGCCAGTGTAAACGCAGCCTAAGCTTTGCTCATCCCTGAGGTGTTCTAAACCTGCTTGCTGTGCCGAGGGATGAGAAATAATTTTAACACGTCATCGCTAGTGTGGAGAGAGAGCTCTAGCATTCTTCCTTTCTTTCTGTTTGGTGAAGCGATACCTGCAGCGTACTTGGACATTTTTTCAGTGTTACCTAATGTGTTTGCTTTGGAGATGAACCATGGTCTGACCAGTTGCGATCAGGGCCATGTGGAGATAAAATGGCACGAGCTGAAGGAGGTTTAAATCCAGTTACTCTCTGAGTGGCAAAATAATCAAGGAAATATGGCACCATCTTTAGTTTTTTCTTCTGTACAACCATGATGTAGCTCTGAAAGAATGAAATAATCTTCCAAAACCAATCACAAACCTAGTGAAAACAATTTTATTGATGCTGTGATGGGTATGTAGACTTAAATGTATATATTTAAGATTTCTGGTTAGGTCTGTTGAGCAAAGGGCCAATTTTTTTTACTAAACTGGCTTCATGTGGCCACCTTCCCTGCATTCACAAAGCTTTGTGAGACAGTGTTGGCTTGTTAAACAGTCACATGTGTATGTCCCAAATTGCTGAATGCTGAAAAAGTTGTTTTTTCCTTTCATATTTGCGGAGCGGCAATTAAAGGAGACAGCAGAAGAAAAAGACCAAAAAGAAGTGTTAACATGGCGTCACTGAAACGTGAGCCACTGAACATTTCACACAAAAACAAACACATGCGCAAATGCATGCGCACACACACACATGCTCAA